AGGCCGTGCAAGGCTTTAAAAACATAAAGCAAAACCTTGAAATCTACTCTCCATTTAACGGGCAACCAGTGAAGGGATAGCAGAACCAGATATATGTGTCAGTACAAACGAGTGAGATGACTGTGTATTGTATGTGTCAGGTCCGCTCGGCCCGACCTGCCTCTCTTCCACCTTTCTCTCCTCTGCTTTCTTGATCCTGCAGGCTCTGCACCTCAGCTGTGTTGCATTCCAGCAATTCGCGACTCCTTTGTCGGTGCGCACAGCTAGGGTGCATCCCAATGATTACCTTTCCTCCTTATTTATACCTCTGACAGACGCTCCATCTTTGCCGGAGCATTACCTAACATAGCTAGCATTAACTTACCTAACTTGCATACCCTATATGTTTCAGTACAAACGAGTGAGATGACTGTGTATTATATGTGTCAGGTCCGCTCGGCCCGACCTGCCTCTCTTCCACCTTTCTCTCCTCTGCTTTCTTGATCCTGCAGGCTCTGCACCTCAGCTGTGTTGCATTCCAGCAATTCGCGACTCCTTTGTCGGTGCGCACAGCTAGGGTGCATCCCAATGATTACCTTTCCTCCTTATTTATACCTCTGACAGACGCTCCATCTTTGCCGGAGCATTACCTAACATAGCTAGCATTAACTTACCTAACTTGCATACCCCGTTACAGCCCTATAATCGTGATATGTATCAGAGTTGTTTTGACTTGCACGCTGACGGTTCATGTGCTGTGGATCTCACTGTGTACATAGGTAATATGTTTTGTGTTATACGTCTTTAGACATCCATGCTGACAGTTCCTGTACTGTGGATCCCTTTGTATGTTTTTTTGTCCATTAGGTTAGCTAGACATAAATTTTTGATATCCACGCTGACAGTTCCTCTGCTGTGGATTTCTTTTTTGTTCGCCAGTCCTCCTGGTTCATTTGTTTTTTCACCTGTCCGTCCTCATCCTCACTCTCCTGTTTTTTGCCGTTAGCCTGTTCTCCCCTGGTCATCCTGTTCTCCTTAGCCATATTTGCTCAGCCCTGGTTGTATGTGTTCCTCGACTTTGTTTCTTTTTGTAATCCCAACCAATAAACCACCTGTTTTTTTCCCCCTAGCACCTGGGTCTGCACTCTTGAGTCCAACCTCATTTCTCCCTCACCCTCCTGGTGAGGAGGACTAAACCGTAACAGTATGTTACAAAAATTTGGAAATAAGGTGTACTCACCATAAACAAATGGATCTGTAAATGAAACACAGAAAGAGAAGAAATAAGAAGAGGAGAAAGACAAGTTAAGCTTTAACCACATAATGTGACAGCAGACTCACTGTAGTTAACAGCTGGATAAAAGTAATGCTTGAAAATTTTTCCCTTTTACCCCTGAAACCCCCTTTGTTACTATACAAGTAAATCTGCCCAACACATTTAAGAATCTGTAATGGCAGTTTCGAAAGAGTTTTGCTGACCCAACACTATAGAAGACAAGCTTCCGTTTATGAAAATGGGTTTATCAGGAGATTATTGTGGAGACAAAGGAAGTGATTGCATCAGCTTTCTTGACCACAAGCCACTCTCAGAACAAGATCATGTGAAAGTAGAGCTTTGCCCTTACTTGCTTCAGTTTCCACACAAAGGGTGAAGAGCACTGCAAGAAAGTGACACATGAAATGTTAATTTAGTTAAAGGAGAATGTCTGCATCTAGTCGGTGCTCTGCTAGACAGTGTGTCACCTCACAAACTGCACTTTATCAGGAATATTTTGTCAGTTTTTGCCAGTACAGTGCTAGACTATGATCTTCTTTGATGCCCTTTACAGGTTATGCATTACATGTGTGTAAACAGTTGTCTGAAGCAAACCTTATGTGACATAATGTTAGAAGGTCAGACCCACATTCTTAGAGCTTCAACAAGTCATACTGCTTTGTTTTTAGTAAAGCGATGACATGAGTGGTGTATGCACATACTGTATGTGAGAAAGAGTTTTATGTACCTGCCATTACTGTCACAAGAATGAGACGGCCCATCTTCAACACAACTAAGAGTCAGACAGAGAGAACATCAGTGTGAAAGAGACAAGGGAAATTCATACATTTCCCCTTGTTTACACACAAGCACCACATTACACATTTCTGTCACTCTCCAGGAAGAATGTCCTTGTGATGTGAGCGGTCAGTGCCTGGTCAGCAGGGATACTTTCTGGGTGTTTGGAGAGTAAACACTGGACCAGTTTCTGTCTCTGGATGAAACCCAGCAGGCTTCCAGACAATGTTAATTCAACCTCGACTCATGCCACAGAAACACTGACATGCAGTTTACAGTAAGATTTTTTTCATAACACCTATTTTTCTTCCTGGAAATTGACATTTTTTTTACTGTCTTTAAGGAGTATGATGCCTCAGGAAGCATCTGAAAAGTCAGATTTCAGTGACTTTTACAACGACTTTAGTTTCTTACCATTTTTGCTTGTTTGTTTTATCATATGTATGTTTAAATAGAAATGCAAAGTATTGATATTGTTGTCTTCCTTTGCTGATGTCATTGTTTTATTTGGAGTTAAAAACTGAGTTCTAGCTAAAAGCCAGCAGTTTGTTTATTTGTTTGCTCAAAAACCATAGAAAACATAGGAAACTCATGCACATTGTCTTGCTTAGGCTGTTTATCTAATTGTTTACTCGCTGTCATTTAATAGTTTTAAAGCCTAAGTGAGACACTGTTCAAGAATGTCTTGCTTTTTGTTCTGACTGGTTGTTCCGCCGACACACCTGTCAAAAATTCCAGTGTGCAGAAACGGTTTGATTGCTGAGCCATAACAGACACACTGGCTTCTTCCTTCTTCATATTCATCCTAAATTCATAACTACAAATATATACATACTACAAATGCAATTTCAAACATTAAGAATTTTTTCATGGAGTATGAAAGAAGTGCACCAGCAATATTTTTAAACACCTCTAGTAG